TGTTTGGATCCTATTTCTCTTTGTGTTACTAAACATTCAGCTGCTTAAATCTAAAACTTTAGTAAATAAAACAACCTCAGGCCTTCTACCGGGAAAGCTCATACTCATAGTGAATGAATAAACATTCACTCATTCATTATTTATCCACTTTTATATCGATTTAGCTGAGTAATTAATCCAGCTAAGTCCCGAGCGCAGTCTGAAGAATATCATAACATATTAATCACAGGTACAGCAAAGCAATCCCATGAGGCGGTGGTCACAGTGACACAGGATGTTGTAGGAGAGGAGGGGCCTTCGAGGTACCCTGATACAAGAGCGAGGCATTCCCAGACCCACAAGAGCGTCACACTATTCACAGCTAAATGGGGGAACCTGACCCCCGACACCTTCTCTGTGTGATCGGCGCATCCTTCAAAATGTGCCGTTTCCTGCCTTCTATCTGGCTCACACACCCTCAGTCACAGCTGCCAGCGCACATGGAGCACAGCGTATGTTTGCAGGGAAGCTCTTTTCCCCGAGAGGCCTGTGGTGAGCTAAGCCGAGTCGCACAGCCAGAGCCAAAGGATTCTGGGTAGTTGAAAGCAGCTTTACCGTCACAGTATACCTTCAAAGACCAGGAAGGCATCCAACACGCAGGGACACTGGATCAAAGACCCCGAGAGCTCTGGCTAATTAGTAGGTGGGGATCCTGTAAACGTACCGAAAACTATTGTCTGCTACTGTCACATCACCGATAGCAACGGTTGAGCAGAAGCAGGAATAAGAGGAAGTGGTGGGAGCGAGAAGAAGAGCGGGAGAGAGAGAGAGAGGACGAGATGAGAGAGGGGACACGCAGTCCCATTGTGTGAAAAGAAATGTTCAGTGTGTGCGTCCCTTTGTCCCAGAGTGAATGGCATGCGTAGGTGTGCGCTAATGTAAGCGAAGGATGCAAAGTCACAGCCCCCCCCCTCCTTCGCTTACAGTCTCCCACAAGGCGCCGGTGACCTCCCTCTCAATGTCTCTTGTCAGGCAGCACATCTGCTCCAATAACATCGACTTGATAGAGCTGTGCTCATACATAAAAAACAAAACAATTTTCTTTACATCTTGTGTTTCGGTTCAGTTGTTTTGATATTCCCAGCGGTTTAAGCGTGAGTATTTTTGCTCAAAAGCATTTCTGTAAAGACTGTAGACAAAATAGTTATTTTCTAAGTATCAGGCTGTTCTATAAACCTCTGAGAGGAGGAGACAGCTGGGATTTTGAAGTGGGACCAGACGAGGTTCTTTCAGCTGATAAAGCTACAGTAAGGAGTTTTAGATGGTTGACTGAAGGTAATCCTGAGGCCCTTTTACAACATAAAAAAGCAAAAATGACCATCAGTGACCAGTTGGATGAAGGGCTGTACGATGTATCGTTTGAGCATCGTCATTGCGATGTACGTGAGCGTGATAGTCACATTGCAAAGCCTGCGATGTCGGAGGCGAATTAATTCATCTAATTTCAAGGGTAACTGACTGAGATCCACTGCATGTGACTCTGCATGTGCTGTGCAGCGATCCACCAATCACATTTGTTCTTTACTCAGTTGCCAATCAGACTACCCTGCCAGCCGTCAATCAAAATCAGACAGGAGGAAACCACGCCCCTGCACATGGAGTGAATCACTGGTGCTGCTGGTGTTGTGCTGAGAAACGCGTGTCCGCTGAGAATTACTTTCGGAACATTACTCATCACTGTTTAGCCCCACAAATAAGAATTGTATGGGTTTCAAAATTATACATTTCCGTGGACCACTCGACTATAAGCAGTGTGCATCTTACGAGGTGCATGCAATTCTTGAGGACACAACACTGTCCACACAACACTGATTGCAAAATGAGCAACGAACAAGAGAAAACCACCGAAAATGAAGAATTGTTGCTGAAAAGAAAAGCAACATCAGCTATCTGGAATTATTTCATTACAAGAAGAATGATGTCGACCAAACAAACACGTGTTCTGTGTCGGCAGTGCCTTTTACCTGTTTCCACAAGGAGAAATAACAAGTCCCAGAACAATAAAAGCTAAAAATATCTCTGAGACAGACAGAAGCCAATCTACTAACATTCACAGGTAAGATCAGTGCAGGTTAATTATCCACAAGATTTCAGCATAAAGTTTTATTCAGGTCACCTGGTGAAAATTCCTTTATTTTTTAATATCCAATATATATTGCAGGGTTGAAAAAAATTGCAATGTTAGTTTTTTCCAATATCATGCAGCACTATTGGTTTATGTCTTTATGCCCTTTATTTATAGAAATCAGCCTCTGTGCTCACAAGATCATCGGAAACATTGTTCAAAACCAAGTCCTACAATCACAGTTTTAACATTTACTACATTTTTTAATATTTTCCCTGTTTCATCGTAACCTTAGGCATATTCCTCCTCAAACAGAGCGACATGTTGTTCACTATGTCAGCTGTTTGGGGCCAAAAAAAAAAGGATTTAGCCAGCACAGGCTGAAATCAAAGTTAAGTTTTTTGAGTGTAAGTTTGTCTTTTTTTCTGAACTAGTAATTACATGTTATCTTTCCTGTAAAATACTAGCTTGAACAGCTGATCTGATACCCTGTATGCGCCACATGTGAAACACGGGACTATTGTTCGTTTTGCTTCACAAGTAGGTCGGGTGTTGTCACGGTTTGATGTGTTACAGACTCCTGTTTTTGTTTACTCTGAGCACCTGAAGTCCTCTCACTGTCCAATCAGGGAGTAGCATGCAGCACAAATGAGCACAGAAGCGCACCTTTCACTGGGCTGCCTTTGAAATCAGTGAACCGAACCCAAGGGACCAGCCAGGCATGCAGCTGGTGGAGCACACACACAGACACATGCACAATGAGGGAGCTAAAGTTTCATCCAAGAAAATTCTGTTCCTGCTCTGAATGAGTCTCTCAGGCTGCAGATATGAGCACTTCTCAAAGAGCGTGGATGTAAAGTAGCTTTAGCCACCATGACAACCCCCCCTGACAAGCTATTTTGCCATCACTGTGGAAACAGGAGTTCGACTGGAGCAGGCTTTGTATAACCTACTTTGGCATTCATTTTACTTTGTATGTGGCCACACTACACAAACATGTAAATGATTGTAAGATAAGGTTTCAAAGCGGCAGGCCTCTTTTCACCTGGTTTCATACCATACAACCTTCTATTTCTGTGCAACCAGTTGAGTTGCCCCACATTGGTCATGAGAATAGTGGTCATCTGGGTTAACAAGAGGCTACATCCACTTCTCCTGCACAGTCTTTGTTCTCTAAGCTGCCGGGCTTATACGTGGGTACGCACTCAAAGTAGGGGTAAAACCACCGGCTTTTTGTCTTATTCCTTCACCCTGAAGAGCAACGAGACAGATGGTTCTCTCACTGAAGGGGCACAGCGCTGGATGAAGCCCCAGATCAAGTAGAGAGGGAAGGCCACAGACAGGTGTTACCTCCCTGACCGTCTTGTACACAGCTGATGTAGCAGCGCTCCTTATAAAAACTATCCTCTAAGGACTGCGATACACTTCCTCACACGCCTGCTGAATGGTATCATGTGGCCAAAGGTTAAGTTTACAGTCAAGAGGCCTTTTCAACAATAGACCATACTGTATACCCTCACAGCTTAGACCACTTGATCCCGCCTCTGTGAAGTTAATGTTTTCGGAAAGAGATTATAAGGGCGTGATTCTAACCTGAAAGTAAGAATCTAAGAGAGGCTTAAGACAGTCAGATCAGAGAGTGACTGACACAGTTTGAGAAGGTAATTATAATCTGTATAAAGGTTTATCCAAGTTGATTTATCCGGTTTACTAAATGTAGTAGTGCTGGACAATTAATTGAATTTTAATCATGATTTCGATTTTGGCTTCTCATGATCATAAAAACACTATGATTGAAAAAAAAAAAAAGATTAATGCGCTGCACTGCGCGACATGTATGTAAATTTCTGTGCTGGAAAAACACCTTGAATGCGCCCCTGTTACGTGTCGCTGCAGCAAGCGTGTGATGTGTGTCGATCAATAATATGAGAAGCGAGCGATTGAAAACACAGAGCGATTGAAAACACAGAGCGATTGAAAACATAGATAGAAAGGCTGCCTTAGTTTGAGAAAAAAGGTAGGACAACTTCAGTTGTTTGGAAACATTTTAGTTTAAATTTGACTGAGGTCAAGCAAAGGAAATTGTTGGCAAAGTTCGTGTCTTCTTCTCAAGGCAACATGACCGAACTTCAGGCTTTCCCCTATGTACATACAATTGATCGCGGCGCACCACCACAGCTAAATAAAAGCCGGCAAACCTCAATTTTTTATTTTTTTATTTATGTTGCTCTAACTCTAGCTCATATGTATCAGTATACACACACGGGCGCTGCACCATGGAGCATGTGCGCGCCGAGTTTTAGCATTCGCAAGGTATTACAGAACTGATTATTTTTTTTACTTGTTTACTTGTTACTAATTTATTTCTGGCTGTTCCTTTTATGATAGTAGTTATATTTAAGTTAAGTGTTGTTGGTTCAATAAATACTTCAGTTTGTCTTTATTAATTGTGATTTCAATATCAGCTAAAATATTATTAAAAATATTATAAAATTATTATTTCTTCCGTAATCGTCCAGCCCTAAAATGTAGTTGCTTTTGTTCAAGTTCAGCCTGTGTCAAAGTCAGCAATCCAAAGAAGGACGCACAAATTAGAAAGTGACATAACAGACAAAGGCATTAAAAATAAAAGTAAAAACCGTCAGAAGTCAGAGAGAAAATGCCGTCACTGCACAAACCAGGGGTCACCTTCTCATGCTCAGTTTCACAGTGGGACTGACAGTTTGTTCTAATTTCCCTCAGCAGACTGGTGGTTTCCCTTCACACGCCTGGGGTACGAGCAGACTGGCAGTGCAGCGGTGAGCGTTTGTCAGCACAGATTGACTTTTTTGCCCCATGAGGTGTCGATATGCTGCACCTGACAGGCCGCTGGCTCTGCGCAGTTTGCCCGCCTTGTTAAGTCTGACGCTGACAAGAAGCGACTGGGTGAGAACTGACACACAGAGAAAAATCCACAGCAAGAGCAAATATTTGATGATGTGATTTTCGCTGGATTGGAGATGGGAGCCGATGTTGACATTTGTGTAACATCTGCACAGTCTGGTCTTCAGAGTCTGTCTCTTTCTCTAAATATATATTTTTGTCTCTCTCTCTCTGCTCGCAGCCTTTCTCTTTTACTCTGTGTTTGAATGGTGACAATGGGCAAAATGTCTTTTTTTTTTGTACTATTGTGAAGTAAAGACACTTTTCAAACCCCTTTTACAGCAAACTGGGAGTTGGATTCTGGGCCAAATTGAATTATAAGAGACTGAAAAAGATCAAGTGTATAATTAAAGGTAGAAAAACACAAAGAGGGGGAAATGATTTAGAAAAAAAATGTGAAAAATCTGGAAAAACAGGAGAAGAGTAATGGGGGAAGAGATCACAAACAGGCAAAAAGGAAGAAGGAAACCAAACAACATCAACAAGACAAGAGAGAGATAAAGAGAGTAGGAGAGAAAAAAAGGGAAAGGAAAATTAAAAATGCCTCATTTTACCTCAGAGAGAGAGAGAGAAATCATGAGCGACAGAAAAATTGAGAACAGATGATGAAATAAGGGAGAGCTTGTAAAAAAGGAAAGCAAAAATGATCCATGAAAAGAGAATAAAAGGAAAAGAAATCAGAAATATTAAAGTGATCTGAATAAAAGGAAAACAGAAACAAGAGAAACAGAGTAGGAAAGAAAGGAAAGTTAAAGATAAGAGGAAAAAAGTTAAAACATGAAAACATGTAATCATGAAAAATAAAGAGAAAAAAACAGGAATGGCCAAATTTAAAAAAATATATTTTTTTTAAAAAAGGGGATCCTAATAAAAAGGAAAGAAAGAGGCAAGAGGAATGGACTGAATGAAAAGGTTAAAGAAAGAAAAATGGGTCATCAAGAGAAATTAAAAATGACATTTAAAGGGGGAAAAGTAATATGACAGAAAACTTGAGATAAAAAAAAAAGAGTAAAAAGAGAAAGAGGAAAAATGAATAAAAAGACTGATATGGAGTAAAAGAAAAATGGGATAAAGATGAAGAAAAAAAGGAAAAAAGAAAGAAAGAAAGTTCCTATTTACTAACTACAGCTGAGTTAGATTTGTGGGGTAAATACCAAATAATCTGTTATTTTACCTCATTCTTCTTTGACTTTATTCCTCCATCTCATGCAGGTCTGAATCCTAAATAATAAATGTTTTATGTTGATTTTTCTTTTTTTTATTTAGATAAAATACAAAAGCAGAGATCCAACTTCCCATTTTTCCTTGATGTGCATCAACATGAAAGTATAAACATTTAGCTGCCAACAGGGAACATATGACAGGATATATTATTCATCCTGTCATTTGGAAAACTTCTTAAACCTTAAAACCAGACTTTGAACCAGATCTGACTCAAACTAACTCTGTGCAGGAAATATCAGGTGCAGCAGAGGGAGTGCAGCAAGGTTTGAAACCGTCCAGATGTTTGAATTGAATAGTAAAAAGATGACTTGAATGCTAAATCCCTCCCTGTGGTCTGGCGCACAAACAGAGAGGAAAAGAAAGAAAGAAAGAAAACATCAAACCGGGGTATTGTGGAGCTTTTTGTTCCTCACAGAGTCTGGGTTGGTTCCGGTGGGGCCACCAGAACACAGTAATGACTTTCATGAAGGGGACTTGTCCTTAATTGAGATTAGATTTCTGTTTTATCTCGCTGCCACATCAAGGATCCTTTAGTTTCAGTCTGACTGGCGTCTCATTGTGGTCCATTACGTGGTAGATCGACCATGCTAATTTAAACTGCATGCCATCAGTTAGCTGGTGTAATTGTCACAGACTACAGTGCACAGCCCCTGTGGTTTTATCGGGTGTCACGGGGCAGACCATTTTCCTCTTGTTGGTTTTAATGGAAAGCTAAAGCCACCGTGTTTGCTTGTGTACAACATGACTGAAGTGTTTTCTTATTGAGAGGATCTATTTAACTATCATTTATTCTGGTAAATACTTAATTAAAATCAAAATGATACAAATGTAAATGTGCCCAAAACCGCAGTTCCTTGAGTGTCCACTTGGAGTTTTCTCCAAAGGAAATCCCCATAAGAGCCCATTTTAAATCACCTGTTTTTACAGCATCGATCAAATTCGATCAAATATACAAACAGTTTTAGACAAGAAATTCCCTATTTTTTGAAGATCGAAAAGGAGAAGGTAGATGCTATTTAGCTTATTTGTACCTCCCCTCATTCCTTCCTATTCGTTGACCCTTTACACGTCTCTAGAATTTTAGGATTTCTGAAGTTGCCAAAAAGTAACCAAAGCTCCAAAGTCTTACATGAATATGTAACAAATCATTAATACTGAAACAAAGACCTTATATATACATGGATTTTAATTTAAAATTAGAATTTGAATCTTGATCAAAACCTGTTCAGTTCAGATATCTTTAATGTCATCATTTTTGCAGCACTGTTGCAGCAGACAGTATGACCTTGAAGTAAGGAGTATGTGTCAGTTTTGAAGACCTTCACCGCAACTTGATTTGTTTTTCTGATCTGATTGACATCGATTTGGTAACTGGTGTTTGTTCTTTCTTTTCTGCAGACTTACTGAGTTTACTTCAAGTTCTACGATAGCAAAAGTTACCACTCATGGTTCATATTTGATGATAGACAGCAATTCTCTCTTAAATATTCTTCATGTTGCTTTCTTTAAATAAAATGCGGATTGGCAGAAACCAAAAGTAAGTTTTTAGTCTTCACAGGTCATAATGGAGCAAATAAAGAAGGTCTGTTTTTTGTTAAATGGACATATTCCAAGAGTAAACCAACATGGCTCTCCGAGGATCTGTTTTAGGAGCTGAATGAAACAGTTCTTGCTAAACCACAATCTGGATCACTAAAATAAGCCGCAGTTTCAATCACTCATCTGAGCACTTACACAGAGTCTGTTTACCTGAGAAAGAAGGCAGATCCAGACCAGAGTCCTACATGGTAAGATGGATCACAGACAACTTGAGTAAGATCATACAAGCTTCGTAGATTTAAAGTAATCTGTAAAACATGTTAGGATTAAATCCTTTACTTGCCTTTTATTGTGTGGATAAATGGATTGAAACGACTGAAGTCAAAATCTTTGTACGATTATGAAAATACATTTTTGTTTTATATATTCATAGTCGTCCATAAAACAACCCTTTTCCTCTGAAAGTTCACAATCAATAAATATAGAGGTAGTTAGGGACATTTTAGAGTTGTGGTGGTGATACACAAACAACACGATTAATAAGAATGAATCGTGTTTCTCTCTATTCCTGGTTTCTTTAGGTCTTTGTTGAACCCACATCCACCAAACACTTTATCATACACCGATCTCTTTGTGTGTATCATGTATATTTGATGCTCTTTGTATTACTTTTTTTTTTAACTGTAATGTTGGAGCGCTGCAGCTCCAGATTTCCCTTGAGAATAAACTGTTTTTTCTTTTCTTTTCTTTACTCTGAAAGGTGGACACCCACTTCCATCTCCCCACTTCTAAGAAACAAGAGAGGAAAGGGGAAAGACGCAGAAAACACCACTGAAGAAGAAAAAGAAAAGGAGGGGCTGTGAACTATGAAACTAGTCCAACTCAGAAGTTTATGGAGGTCTTCGCTGTCACATGTTAACCGCAACCAGGTTAATGTTATGTAGAGAGAATGCAGCACAAGAAGCATGCATCACATAGTTAGAGCAGCACATGAGACTTTGAAGTGATCTCTGGAGCGTGTTCACGTCTCACAGGGTTGCACGCGTCACATGTTGAACTACGTGACCCACTGTTGGGTAGGCTGTATGTCTGGCAGCTTGAGCACACTCCTCCCCGCAGCACAGCGGGCTAGCAGAAAGTGCCTTTTACTGCAATTACATGGGTTTCTACACATCAATTAGCAATCCAATTAAGTCTTGATGTGATGAATAGCGCTGAATGGGAGTGGAGGAGCGTCTGATCTTGCTAATAATGATCTCGCCGATTATGTTGATCACTCAGCGGCTATGAAGACAGACACGCCAAGGTCATCAATTAACACAGAGGGAGTGAGAGGGAAGCTGATAACACAATGTTGTCATAGGCAAAATAAAAACGGTGGAAAAGTTATGATAAATACTTTGTGTTTCCTCACATAAGAGTCTTAATGCATATTTCATATACTGCACTCACATGGTGGACAAACCAAAGGAACAGTCTTTAAGAGGGAACAACTTACCCAGAACAGATTAATGAGTGGTACGTTTGGAGACGGCCTTTTATTTGATCAAATTAAAATTAATGCACTAAAGCTCGATTTCAGCTTATTAGTCCAACTATGTCCTCAAGTTCATTTGTCATTCAGTTGGCACTCCCTTTTTTGCTCTGATTGTGCATCATTTGATTTGTTTTTGGCTCATTTTACACTGCCGCTTGTTTCGCGAGTCTCATGGCTAATTAGCTCTGCACATGGCTCAGTCTTTACCTCGTGCTAGTGTACACCACATTTATCCTGAGAAGATGCACGAAAAACAATCTGCAAAATGGGGGAAAGTCCGGCTCAGATGTCAAGGAATATGGTCTTGTTTCCTTCAAATCTTGGTACGCCCATAGGCTGTATCAAGTGTCAATCGTAGACAACATGAACCCCCTAATGACTTTGAAAAATAGAGCTGGACAGAAAAAAGAGGACTTTAGCACAAACCAGTCTTACAGTAACTACATGTCAACATCACAACCAGGGGGGGAAACATTTATATTCTGTGTAATTAACTTCTTAAAGTTTGTCCACAGCCCCATAAGCAGGATTTATGACCTATACTACAGCCCATCACCAGAGGGTGCTGTTCTCAGAGTGGCTTCACCCAGCGAGGAGTCAAATGCTGTCTATTCTATATACAGTCTATGGGCAAAAACAACGGTCTTCATGAGGGACCCCACCACTTGGTTTGGCCCAGTGATGTCAGCTGTGACATCACCAACATTTGAAAAACCCAGGAAGTGCTGGTCTGGCCCCTCCCTCACGGGAATACGACTGAAAGAAACAACCAAAGGTGAGTTTTGAAAAGGGGAAACTATTTAAACACTCAATCCTTTGATTTTGTACTGGTTTCTCTTACCTACAAATGACTCTGCTAGCTTTGGCTAGCATATTTACTCAAACATGATTTGTAGCGCTATGCTAACACAAACAAACACGCTTTGCCAATTGTTGCATTTTGTCGTTTGGTGTCCTTCTTTTAATTTGTGTGGATGAAGAGTCAGGCTTCAAATTCAGTGACATCTGGTGTAGGGTGACCATACTTACCGAGACATGTCCTCTTTTAGGGGGCTGTTCAGCCTGTCTGGTGGGAGTTTATAAAATCCTTCAAATGTCTGAGATTTTGTATGCAAGTTTTGAGTCTGTGTATTGTGGACTAACCGAGTTAGAAACGCATAAAAACCACTCAACTGGACTCAAAAAACGCCCTGCATAGTAGTGTTTTTTTTGGGGGGTTCAGGATAGATAGATAGATAGATAGATAGATAGATAGATAGACAGACATTAGCATAAAGTTCCCCACTGGAGCTTTAAAGAACTGAGCTGATGTGGTTGTTTAGTAATAACTTTTTTTATATAGCGCTTTTAAAAACAGAAGTTTACAATGTGCTTTGACAAACAGTTGCAAGCACAGAACATCAGCTCATGAAAATAAAAACAAACAAAAACAAAAGCTCAGTTAAAAACAAGGCCTCTGGATTGAAGGCCAGTTTCATTTTTCATAAGAAACTCAGGCAATACAAGAACCCTACAACATAAAATGAGACCATGAGGACCAAAATAAAAACATAAAATAGGTAAGAAGAACAATGAAATAGAAAAGGAGGGCAGAAAGCAGGAAAAGGATAGTAAGTATAAAAGAGGATATTAAAAATGATAATTCAATCATAATAAAAAAAATAATGATGGTGATATAAATGATAAAATGGAATAAAAAAAATGAACAGGAAAAGAAACATTAAAATCAATAAAGGACCTAAGAGGTAAAATAGGAAAAGATTATAATAAAACAAAAGCTAAAAGGATGTTTGGGGCGTACATCTTTAAAGCTCCTATAAGGGGTTTTATACATTGTTGGAATAGACTGAAATTCATTCATAAAGCAAACACGATCATCATGTGTGTAAGAGAGTCGGTGACCGTCAAAGTCAGCAGGATGAGATTTTGTTTCCTCAAATTTACTGCTAGGCATGTAGAGGACAAAGACTGCTCTGTCCTTAGGGGTCGCCAGAATAAACACTAACAGTCAGAATTAGTGTTTTTATGACAACTTATTTTTGAAGGAAAATAATAATAATTGTGAACATTAAAATCCAAAGGAATCGAGGTAACACAGGAACAAATCTCATTCACCTCGTCTCAAACCTCTGGATGTTTGAAATCTCTGTCATTGTTTCCAGCTTAGTAAAAGTTGGAAACTCGTTACAGTGATAAAACTAGTATTATTCTGAATCATGAGCTTAAATCCTGTTGAACCTTTTCCACCTCCTGCCACCTTCAGAGGACTGAGCACCTTGCTAATATTTGAAGGTTCACGCTCACTTGGTTACTGTGGGCCACTGCTTAATTCTATTTGGGTCAGTGACTTTAATGAATTAGATTTCATTCCTCTTTTTTGCGCTCTCTCTTCCCCCCACTTTGTCAGGCTCTGATTAGATATTTTAAGACCTGAGCAATGAACTCCCCTGCAAAGTGAGGTTGGGGGGATTAAATTACTCTAAGGGAAGGGCAACAGGGATACAAAATGTGGGGTTACAAAGTTAGAAAACAGATCACTCAGCATCTGAACTGTTGCGCTAGAGAAGTTTAACAGTATTTTGGAGGTAAATGCTGAAAAACTTTAAAATATATCCAATTTAAGCTTGAATAGTGCAGGTGAGGGTGGAATATAAAAGACACCTTTTGGTGTTTTTGCATTTTATCATTCTACATGTTTGAACTTTGGCACGTGTTCGAGCTAACACGTCCTGTATTATAAATCAGACAATTGAATGAATAAACTTGTGAAGTGCGGCATTGGAAATATTCCCAAGTCGTCGCCAAGCCTTCGCAGGGTCAGAGAGGCGGGAACCTTCAACAACATGCTTATTTCTATGTAAAAGACAACATAAATATTGATGTCTCCTCACTGTTGTTTGTGCTTCTGAGCGCTCAATCCTTCCCGCACCTGTGTGACTTCATAAAGAAAATAAAATCCTACCATAAAGGTCTTGACATTAAAACTGCTCATGCAGTGATCCATGATAGAGAAAAATCTCTTTCTCCCACCTACTGTTGTGATGCTCGGAGGCTGCTATTTTTCTCCAATGTCCTCAAACTCTTGAACATTCGATTTCAGAGACCAAGGCCACTTGATGAGTCAACATGAATGACAGCTCTGACCTGTTTCCAACCTCCTCCACTTCTATTGAGGCTTCTGTCACACCACTCGTGGGTGAGCGTACCTCACTATTTGTTCAAAGAAGCTGAGAAAAGGAGTGTAGTGATCATGACTCCAACATGAGACACACATGAGCAGGACACATGCTGCTGATGGTTTTTTGATTATTATGATCTATGAAATATAATACAGAGCAAACTGACACCGAGCAACAGTCTACTCATACTAAAATCTCAATTATTGTTTCTTGAGGTAACTATTATTTCCATTTATTTCTTATATTACAATGGTTTAGCATCAGTTTTGTAAGCACAGGGCTCAGCAGCATCTGCATGTTAGACTTTCAAAGTAAAACACTCCAGAGGGTGACTGTAAATTAACAACTCCAGGCTACACAATCTTTTATCTTTTTAGTGATCACTGTGTCAGATCAGGAGATCACAGTCAAGTTCATCCATGTCAAACTACACTTAAAAAATTAATTTCATACACAGCTCACCAGGTTGGTTTTAGGAAGTGTAGAAAAATTGCAGAATTACAGAGAGCTTTTTGGCTTCAAATCTGTATATGGGTAGAAGGCGGAACCAAGTTGTCCATAGTATATTCCAGGGGTCAGCATGCGGCTCTTTCTTCCCTAAGATGCAGCTCCTTGTGGATTTGGAAAATGAAAAGTTCATATTTTATTTTAATTTATTTTATTATTATTTTTTTTTTTGGTGTTGTTGTTTTTTTATTCTAAATTTAAAGATTTTAATGCTCTTGTAACATTAAATAAACCATGTTCAATTTTTTTTATCGCTCAAAATATGCATCATAACTGCCGACTCGGGAAAACCGAAAACCCGTGTGAAGGTTAATGTGATGTCACACAGCCTGGATGTGGAGACGCTGTGCGCTGAGGTTCAGGAGCGAAAGTCACAAACCAGTCACTATAATGTAGTCATGTATTACTCAGCACTTTTAGAGTCTGAATTGGAACACAATGAATCATGGGATATGTATGCGTAGATGCTGAAAGTGGCCTCCTCTGCTTTTGGAGTTTGTTTATTGGACTTTCAAAGATCCATATTTTATGCCGTGACTTGACTGACCAAACATATTATCCCATATGGCCAATATGGTGGCATTGAGTAAGTCTGGGATGTTTTTCCAGATATCAACGAATCATAAACTCACAGCAATGACTTCATAATTCTTCTTTAGCATTACCATTTTTTCTGGTCATGTCTGTGACTTCTGCAAGTGTGTAACCAGGAGCAATCTGGCCTGGCAGTAATGGTTACACAGGCCAGGGAGCACCGAGTCGCCACAATATAATCTTTGAAATTATGAAGCACCAAGAGTTATCATTTTACAACAGCAGTCTCCTAATTGTCTGAAGCTACGGTCTTTCAAGCTGGCTCACTGTGGAGTCATCGCACCTTTAGTATGAAATTATATTACCACATAAAAGATCAAATATTGAGTTCAGCAGGTCCGAACACCCTGGGTCCGCCAGGTCAAACTCTTATTGTCCTGAAAATGTCAGCAGTGTGATGCTGTTTTAAGACTCTTGAGATAACTCTTAAACAGAAAAGAGTGAATTATTAATAAAAGGATTTAGAAAAATACCCGGGTTCAGGTGTCTAGTTAGTACCTTTCTGTTTGTCAGCACTAACTGG